AAGTGTAAAAGTGACTCTAAAGTTATTTTCAGGGGTATGACCAGGACTATGCTATGCTCAGAGTGGTTAACCACCAGGTTAATGCACTTTTGTAACTCTCTTGAAATGTTTGCATTTTCATTTCTTCCTGGGGCCTTGAAAATTATGTAGTTTTGATTTCCATTAACTTGCCCTTAATTCAAACAAAAAGAGGAATTCAAAGTGAAATTAAATTTGTTAGATAAAAGTAATTTCATGTTTATGTAGCTGAGTTTGCATGATGGTATCTGTGCAAATTGTGTTGAATAAAGAACAAGTGGGGAAGGGAGTACATGTGAAGATCCCAGACATAAACTCTCAGATTCCTTAAGTACAGAGAGAGCAGTGAGTAATAAGAGATCCAAAAGCAAAGTGAGGCTGGAGGTGTAAGCAAGGCAAACTTGATGCCTCTTCTGTGAGGACAAGCAGAATGGAAACAGTTTGGTATGTTTGTTATTATCTTGAATTAGAATTCAAAACCATGTTCAAGCTCTTCATATATTAAAAGGTAGCATCATCACAAAACAATACACTCTATAAAATGAAGAAGAGAGCTAAGGAGTTATTTTGTTGGGTTTAGATAGACTTGACACAATCCTATCATAGTGTATCCACAGTGTATCCAGCTTCCATATCCTGCTTGTGAATAGGGAAGAGCTCATATCAACTGCTTTCCAGAATTTCCGTGAGGAAATAGCACCCATAAAGTATGGATTTGGGACTCTGAAGCTTGTTGTCTACAGCTCCAAGGCCATTTGGGGCTCTTTTATTTTTCTCTCTCTCTCTATCAAATATCTTCTTATGACATGTTAACATCCCTAGGGTAATGCATACCCTGTTTCCTGATCTGGTAAATGGCTAGTGAACACACATAGGCAATGCAAAACCACAGTGAATGCAAGGCTCTGGGAACCCCGCCAGGAACAGTGGGTTGCTAAGTTAAGACTTTGCCTCACTTCCAGTCAACACCCATAACACGACTCTCTGGGCTTCTGGTGTTTTAAAAAAGTCAAGTGTAGCATTTCACTTTTTTAAAGTGGACAAGTGATCACTAGGGATGGAGGCAAGATCAAAAAGTTTGTTTTAACAGTGACCTGAAATTGGCCTCCAACTGAACAGGATCTCAGAAATCCAAGGGCAGTGTGCAAAATGTTTTTTGCCTTTTGAATATTTGAACTTAGCACAGAAGCTCCCTTCTAGCTTTACCTTTCACTGCTGCCAAAGGAAAATGGTTATGAGATGCCTAACAGAGCAGAGTAGGTTTGGTTCACTTATAGTGACTTAACAGAAAATATGCCAAAGAATACTGAAGACCACATTACAGGAAAGGAAATGGACAACCAACCACATTTCCTTTTCAGTCCTTTCTGTACCCTAGCCTAAAAAATTGTTTCTGTGGGGTCTTTTCCAACTTAAGTTGAACTGGCGGGAATGAGCAAAGAGCCACAGAGTAAAGAGGACTGTGAACAAAACAGACCCTTTCTGCCACCATCAGCACTGGCAGTTGTCAGGGAAGCTATTCAGTGAATTCAGTCCACCAAGGTCAGTGAAAAGGGCTGGCATGGGAACAGAGTGCATGTTGGACAGCTCATTCCTTCTTCAGCAGTGTTTCAGATGAAGTGAGATTTGTAAGTAGGAAGTTTGCATTTAATGTTTCTTTAAAAAGTACATCTG